ATATTATATAATTATTATTTTTTTTTGTATTTTTCTTTTTTAATAAGACTAAACCGTTCCGATGTCATTATGTGGATGTGCAATTCCCTATCAAAGATTCCAACCATTAATTAAAATACTGTGTAATGAACCGCCATCCGTGTGATCACTACTGAGTAGTCTTTTTGGTGCATCCCCCAAATGTGATGCTTGTAGAAAAACACTTAAATCAGAACCGCTAGCCATTCAGTGAATCCACAGTGGACAAGATTATATAAATAAATAAATCATGCATACCGCTTTATTATCCTTAAATAAAACAGATGAGAATGATGAGAAAATTAGCTCAAGCACTGGATGTGTCTTTTTTTCTTCTGTAAAAAAACAACAACTGCAGATAGGCGTAGTCAGTTTATTTTTCCCCAGCTGACCAATGCAGAACATGTCCTTAATATTATTAATAATAGATGCTTCTAGTAGTAATTTTATGTTGTTTAATGGCCTCTGAAATTTGGATTTAGTTGTGTTGTGCTCTGAAGGCTTGCATTTAATAGGAAGTAGAATCTATGAAATGAGCAGATGAGAGAGCTCAAGATGTGTGAACTGCATTTGTGCACAATGCTTTCATCTGAAGGCTTTGGCTTCAAAGGACTACATGAGTAGTGTCAGCAGTAAGAAGAACATACAGTATATCTCCCTGTATGCTAATATTTACTTCATTTTAACTCACTTCTTTTGGTTCGTTTTTTTTCTCTCTTTTCCTGTTCATTTGTATTCTTGACAGAGTCAGAAGTGACTGACCACCCTCTCTGAATGTGTGTGTGTGTGTGTGTGTCTCTGGTGGACTGTGCTCTGCCTATCGGTTTTTGCTGTTGGAAGGGAGGGATGCACCACAAGAGAAAATGTTCTAAACATATCCAGCAAAAATTCTCAAAATGTTGAGCGCTCTGTAAACATTTCATATTTTCTCAGAGAGGAAAAAGACAGGGGTTGTCTATTTTTGTGGCTGGCCTCAGGGACTTCAGGTGAGTTTTGAAAGTAACTCACAGTTGTGGACAAATTACTGTCATAGGTGCCTTATTTGCAGCGGTTAGAGCAAAATGACACGATGTTCTTGCAAGCCTCTATATTACTTACATATTAATTAGCGGTTTATAGAGAACAGTTCTGTAAGCATTTACTCAACCTTAGTCATTCCAAATCCATATGATTTTTTTCCACAAAAGATGTTTAACAAAGTTCACTCAGCTCTTTTTTTCATACAATAATAAAAAAAATACAACAATCAAGGGCTGTCAAGCTTCAAAATGACAAAAAGGTACTTTAAAAAGCACACCTGTGGCCGCAGGACATCACTACACTCTAAAAAACACTGGGTTAAAAACAACCCAATTTGAGTTGTTATTAACCCAAGGGCTGGGTAAATATAGGACAGAACCCATCTTGGGTTAAATTTACCCAGCAAATTGGGTTGTTTATTTAATTATTAAAAATTATTTTAAAAAAAATATATATATATATATATATATATATATATATATATATATATATTCATTCATTTATAATATAATACTTATGTAAATTATATGATATGAAATGAATATAAATTATTTACATATATTTAACATTAGAATGGTGTCATCGATGCAAAAAATGCATTTGGTTCTTGCATGTCTTCTAGGATTCTACTTATAAAGTCGCTTAGCCCATGATCCATGAGCCCATGAATATGAGATGTTGTGGTTCAGATCCTTATATCTTGCTTAAAGTGTGATTTGCAAGTTTAAGTCTTGCTCGACTGACAATTTTTAATGAACCAATTAAAAAGGCATTTGTCAGTAGATGTTTATTAGTGATGGTGGTGTATTTGGTTGCACTTTCAGAGGGGAATAACCTCAAGTAGCTTACTGCAGCCGCTGTTTTCAGCAAATGTGAAAAAAAGATTACAATCAGATTTTTAAGGACGCCGGCAGCTTAACCGCAGATTTTTAGGGGGGCTGAAGCCTAAATAAGTCTGGAATCGCCTATGGTGCCAAGTTTAAATTTGAAAGTGCAAATAAGAGCCAAGGCAGATGGGAAGATTTGACAGTAATTTACGTAAGTTTTGGTCTGGTGTTCTTTTATGTTCCATGGAACATGGAGTCATACAGGTTTGGAACAACATGAGGGTGAGTAAATGAAATTAATTATGCTTCTAATTGCTGGTGAAGAGGTGATACGTTTCTTGATGGTTCACATGGGGTGAACAATGACTTTTTGATCCTGTTGCCTTGGAAGAAAGGATTGATTGATTTTTAAGAATTGAGAAAAAATGAAAGCGCTACAAAGACATTAAGAAGCCATTTAGTACAACGTTTTTCTTTCTTTCTTTTTTTTTTTAAACCTTTTTGCTTCTCATACAGGTGAGATCTGAATGGGTGTTTCACAGGACTGCCTAAACAGCCTTTATGAGATGGAAACTAGGATTAGCAATTAGCGATAAAAAGCCCATTTGGATTTCTAATGGCTCATTGATCGGGTGAAACTCTCCTGATAACAGCATGTATGTGTGTAATAAGAAACTAATGTTGTCACGGTTTACTTATCACCGCCTTGAAAGAACACAGTCACCGCTGGTGGCCCTAGTGGGTCACACCAGACTGTAATCTGTTAAATTCAGACAGCACTGCATTGACAATTAACCAACCATAAAATCACAACTGTGAAGACCTGCAGTGTGAATGTCCTAGTACAGAGCAAAAGAGGTGTTAATGGAATCGACCAGAAGTTAATATTTAAATGATACACTGCAAATGAAGCTCACAAAACTTCACGAGGCTCAATAGCAATAGGCTAAAATCAGACTGAATGGCTTGTCTGAGGTATGATGATGGATTTGTCACTTCTGAGAGCAATTACGAAATTCCATAACATATGGACATTTACATACATAGTGACCATTAACGGCCGAGGGTTAGGAGCTCCACAGAGGCACTAATGGAAGCAGGGCAGCTTGTGAATGGAGAGCTGATAACTGACTGTACTTCATACTCAATGACTGACTCATTCAGTTCACTCTTGGCCTCCAATAAAACGCCCACTCTTCTATCTGTCTCTCTACTCACTCCATACATCCAGTTATCTGCTGTATTCTAGTGCAACAGATGCTTTACTCTTCTGTGTATTCACTAACAAACAAGAACTGAGGTCTTAGTTTAATGGATATTGGAGTATCATATGTGATATCATAATATTGTTGTAGCATGTCTAGTCTGTTGTGTTTTTAGTTCTGCCCTCTGTGACGTAGTTTTCCTGTGTTAATTAGCTCATTCTAATCTCATTAGTTCCCTTTGTCAGAGTCATGTTTATTTACTTTGTCTTCTCCGTTAGTCTCTGTCTGGCTTTGTCTATGTCTAATGTGTGTGAAGATTTAGTCTGTGATATTCTCCTTAGTAATTTTTCACTTAAATTCGAATTATTAAGTTGAACTCATGAACTCAATTAATTATTAGCTATTTTTCCTCTCGTTTTTAATTGTCTAGTGGTTTCAGCATTATGTCAACACAACGAGGTAATGGTTATTTTACGGTTTCCTGAAAATATTGAATCTTTATTTAGCACGTGTGTGAATCATATCCAGGAGCAGACAAATCTCACACTAGTGGGAGTGAGAAAATGAGCTGCTTTTTGCCTCATTTTTTTATGCTGAGAGACAGCAAGTGATATGCGATTATATTAAAATCCTTAAATTGGAAACACCATATGAAATACAGCAGGTATTTGTTACACCCACTCAAGCTAAAAATCACCATGAACAGGTTAAAAGAGCAATAAATAGGGGTGTAATGCATGTTTTGTTTTTAAAGGGGCAGTTGCAGTCCTGTCTCACTTCTTTCCCTAAATAAAACATGTTTTAAAGAGTAAGGTGTTCGCTTGGTGGTATGGTTTTTATTTAGCGTGCAAGGATACCCAACATATACAAAAATTGATTAATTTGATCCACTTTACTTTCAACAATTTTATTTTACGTTTATTTATTTTTAAATGCCAGAAATACTAGTTTTTTTTCTCTTTTTC